GCATAGGAGGGAAATTTTGAAGCACGATACTGCCCAAGTTTCTCAATGGCCCGTTCCGTTGATCTCTGATGTGCTAAATCGCCTCCCTATCGGCTTTACGCTCAAGAAGAAAAAGACTCCAACATCGAATCGTATTCGCGAGGGGAAGAGATTGGATCAGCTCGCAGAGACGGTGGATCCTATTGAAAAGAGAGCTTTGAAAGAACCTGTGGCTGCTCGTCGAATGCCAGAGGCTGCTGGAGCCAAACGCGAAGCAGCTACTATTTTTGATTGCGGCTGGTGTTATGGCGAGTTCGCTCTCAATCGTATGGTCTGCTGCGAAAATGGGAACCACGTGAGAATATGGTGCCCCCTTCTTTCAGACTATTGCTGAGCCATCCAAGTTCTTCTGTGTCGATTGTGCACGCCGCAACGCCGAAACGGTGGTTGGCCTCTCCAAATTCGAATTCACCTGCATGTCCACGGATGGATGCGATGCTGGATTCGCCCATCAAGGATGTGCCAGATTCTTTGACGATCGACTCAACCAAGCCCTGGATCGCATCGAATTCGAGGCTGATCTCCGAATGGCTGGCATCGACGGCTTGGCGACTTGTCCTTTCTGCCCTTATGCCGCCTAGTATCCATCGGTCGATATCAACAAGAGTTCAAATGCGAGAACCCCGACTGCCACGTGGTCAGCTGCCGGCTTTGCGGAGAAGAAACACATATACCTACAACTTGTGCAGAAGCTGCTACTGAAAACAGCACGGAAGGTGGTCGCCGTCAGATTGAGGAGGCCATGTCCACTGCGCTCATCCGCAAATGCAACAAATGTAAGTATCCTTGCGTACTCGGCAACGGGACTAAGACAACTCATCAGATTACACCTGATGCTGACATCTGACATGACGTAGGCGGCACGGCTTTTGTCACAGAATCAGGGTGCAACAAAATGACCTGTACCAAGCGTAGGTGTAAAAATGTCCAGTGCCGAGTCGTGCGACTATGCCCACTTTGACGACAAGTCAAGAGGTGGACGGAAGGGCAATTGCCCCCTCTTCGACGACGTCGAAACACGCCACAATAAGGAAGTGCAACAGGCCGAGGCAAAAGCCCACCAGAAGATTCTCGAGCACAAGGCCAATTCGGCACCAACGGTGCCCAAGAAGAATCGCTCAAAAATGCGGGCTGTCTAGCAACGGTTGGATGCAGAAGCCGTGATGTTTGCACGCCCAGCCAGTTCAACATGGTGTCTGTGTGGGAATTTGGTGTACTCGTGCGCTGACGAGATTTCGCTGCCCTCCTCACCGGTGTCGCCCATGTTCGTGACGTGGACGGTGTCGCGCCACTATGACTGAATCGGTTTGGTGTATCAAACTCACAGGTGTCGCTGACCGGGCTATCAATTATCTATGAAAAGGCGAATCATTCGTGGCAAGCACAAGAAGCGCAGATGAAGCAGTGGACAATGGCAAAATTGCTTCCTTTCGCCTTGTCTCAGCTGCCAGTCCCTCCCTACTCCAAGAGTACATTCCTACTGACACATGAGTCGGCACACGTTGCGGTGTACTCAGATGGTTTGCTCGACAAGTGAACCGCTGTGGGTGTATCAGGTTCTCTGTGTGCTACAGTTCTTGACATACTAGATCAGGGACGTTTCCTAGCCTTGGCTCCAGCAGTGTCACGCTCGTGAAAAAGTCAACGCAGTGAATTTTCCCCACTTGATTCTAGTTTCGCAGTCTGCGAATCAGGATGCTGAAACGTATGGAGACCGGAAGCTGTGGTTGATTCCGTTAAATGTCCGGAGACGTCGTACATCAAGTGCCACGATAATCAAGAAAAGTCGTCCAGGTCTGCAAGTTGGTAGCCCATCTCATCATCAGCTGTCTGCCCCTCTTCGAGAACATGGTAATTGCGGACTAGCCATTCGTGGGATCAGACTCCTGCGCAAGCCACCGCCATGCCTCGTTCTGGTTGTTTGCCCTGGGAAGAGAGCATCATTCGTGTGAACGGCATCAATGACGAATGGTTTTTGTCAAATCTTCCAGTCAAAGTGACGCCCCTCGTTACGGTGGGGCAGGCGTGCGAGCATCAACGAACATTCCCTCATGTATTCGCGAATAGAAATGTGGGTTCGCCTATTTTCTCTTATAAACGATTCCCGGCGACAAGTTGCGTCGGGCTGGTTTTGAAGGCCTTGCACGGGTTTGCCTGATGTCCCAATTTGCTTGTAAATCATCTCAGCTTCGTGTTCATTGGCGCTACGGATCGATTTGATGCATTCCTTGTAGGAGGCATTTTCGGCTTCCCGTTGCTCGACTTCCTGCTTCTGCGCCGCTATTGTGTCACCATCTGGGATCGAGTGGCAGTGAGGGTTGGCAGTCTCATTTGGGTTGGACTCAAAGCCTGGTCGTTGCTGCTCGACATGAAGAAGATTGTGGCCTTACAAAACCTAATGTTAGACCTTCTCCTAGGGGAATGGCCAGATGATGAGCGGCTCGGGGACGTGCCTGGTTGCATGACTGCCCTCCGAGCGTGGAAGGGGCGAGTTTGCCTTTCACTCGAGGTCCCATGTTGATGAGTCGACTCGGTTCATTGATCGATTACGGAGCAGTTGGTTGATACAAGTCCGTCATAGGCGGCACAATACCCAAACGACAGGGTGGATTGACTGTATCTGAAGGATGGATGACTGGTTTCTCGAATTTTCGTGGTTTTCCGGAGCAGGAAATATCCTGGGAACACTGCCTGCTGGGCCTGACGCCAACGTTGGCCCACCTGCTCTGCTGGTCCGGCTGGGAGGCTTGCTTTTCAAATCACCGGATGTCCCCCGACCGGTCAAGAACAGCCATGTTAGGCCTGGACTGCGCATCCCAGTGGCCGTTTGTGGGGTTCCTCTTGAGACGGTTCAGGCCTGAGGGACCCTCACACAACGAAGGAGGATGCTGCAAGGAGCTCTCAGAGACCTTGCTAGCCCGGAGGAAGGACAAGTCATCGAATGATCGAACGTAAATTGCGTCAAGTGCGGGATGTCTTCGAAGTTCACCCGCATTATCACGTTCCCAGCGGTGATCACGGCATGGCTCCTACGGATACACCGACAATGAATTACTAGCGTGGCCTGAAGGGCGGCCCTGTGCCAGGCCCCGGAACAGGGAACGATCCCTTGTCGACTTCACGGAGCCTAACAACCTCCCGAAAGTATCGATTCACTTCCATGCAGGTCCTGGCGGCCGTAGTCGCCCGGCGGTGTTCATTACAATGTGCGGTTGACGCAGGGAGAAGGAAGGAGACAAGCTTCCCGGGATCAAGCACTCTCCAAGACAGGCAGTGGTTTCGCGTGTTTCCCGCCGGGCGACACTTGACAGGTCAACTAGAGCGGAGCTGCACGGAAGAGGTAGCTGACCTGGGGAAGATGAATCACTCACGGGCTGTAAAGAAGCCGCCGGACCCTGGCAGGCTCGTTCCGGCGGAGAGCAGGGAAGGGGACCTGACAGGGATTGGTGCGTCGTTGGCAAACAACCACATGATTAGGTGCGATCTGGCTTGCTAGGCAATGTGTGATTGGTGGCCTGCCACGCGCAGCGGCCCCTGTTGCTGTTGCGGCGCCAAAGCCACCCGATTCGGGGTGCTTGGAAGGCGAGCAGGCGGTACCGGCACCCTTGTCCGTGGAAAGTCGGGGGCGTGTCGCGACTTCCAGGCTCAGTGTTACGTACACTGTACTTGGTTGTGTGTTTAAGGACGCCCCACTTGACTTGCAGCAAAGGGATTGACCCCAGCACACACCGGCTCTACGATGCCCCATTTCGGCGTAGTTTATGGGTGCACTGTGGTACTCCCCTTGGCGTACCCGCTCCAGCTCTTTCTTTGCCTGTTTTGACCCGTAAATTCAACCTTGTCTATGCTGCGTACATCAAGAGGTAGACCGTTCGAATAAACCGGCTCTGGGGCAGAAATCGTAGCAATCTTCGGCTTCTCCAAGATTTCAGATCATGGAACAGCGCCAGGACCTGAATCATCGCTGGGTAGCCCGTGTGTTTATGATCATCGACGGCTGTATCCGGCAGCTCAGCCTCCCAATAAAGTTGACCATGGCCCTCACGCATTGAACGTCTTTGCTTCCTTCGCCTGCGGGACATTGCCCCATTTGCTCACCGACTGTGTCAATGGACCCCAGCTGTATCACAACTGGCTTCCATCGCAACACACATTGCGCCGGTTGAAATTGAAGCAACAAGGGCCAAGAAGACCAACAATGGATGGAATGCCAGATGCAGGCGCATGTGAGTTCGGGGCAGGCTTGCCAACAAGTGCTAGCCTCTATCGATCCCTGGTGACTAACCATGCCGCGCGCGGCCTCGGAGCATGGATGGAGCATGGATCCAGATGCTGATGAGTATTATTTCCTATCACCCTTAACCTTTCACCTTTAGCTGCCGGCTCCACGAAGCGCCTGTATGCCCTTGCCCTTGTCTGTAGTCCTGGCCTTGACGGGCGAACATGGTTCCTCGCAGGTGGCTGAGCTTCCCTGTATCCGACCTAGACTCACCAACAATTCCCCAACCAGGAGCCCCTTGAACAAACACACTACTCTTGTAGACAGTCGGTGAATGTATCATCTCATCAGACGGCCGTGTCTCTATTACCAGCCCAGAAGCAAGCCTGAAGGCTTCTCCCCCACTACACAGCAACGCCAGTCGAACACTGGCCAGAGTCCAGACCTACTTCCCGAAGTGTTCGGCCGTCGTTTGGATACACGGCTTTGAGGCGATGACTTGATCAGCCGAGCCTTGGCTGCGACCCGAGATAGTCTTACGTTTTCTTTTGGACCGCTACCGACCGTGGAGCGTCTCATTAGCCTTGTAGAGCGATGGCGACAAAGTCGTCGAAAGATGGGACATTCAGCGACACATGCGGCGATTTCGAGTCGGATGTGCGCAGGAAGAACGAATCTTGAAATACGGGGGTAGGTAAATGGACACACAGTAGTCAAGGTGAGCCGCCTGCTGCTCCCCAACCTTTCCGTGATAACTCGCCTTTGCCAGGACAACTTCGTCAACGACCCTGTAACTCCAACAAGTACTGCCATCCAAGAAACTACATCTTGGCGAGCATACTACCCCTACGCGACTAAAGCCATGCACGCCGCCTGAACATCGTTATTTCGGCTGCATTGGCAACCTCTTGGACTAATGCAGCGGAGCCTGGCATGTACTGGGACAACAAAGTCGGTGAATAGATGACGTGGAGTTTTTTTACGCAGGTCAAAGAACCCAATTCCTACAGCGATGTGCGATGAACACAGGCCAAACCAGACACCTTCTTACTGCCCAATCCTTTAAAGCCCGTAGAGATCCCGCCGAAGTATCTCAAGTTTAAAGACCCATCATCTCGCAAATCATTTGGCATTTGGCTTGACCCACAAAACCGCCGAAATAAGCCAGACACATGGAGGATGTCTTATCCAAGTATCCTCCCGACGAGGACCTCATCCAGAGGATGGAAAAGGAGATTCAGGCTAGGTAAGCACACTACGTGAAATAGCGCTCTTCAGGAGTGGCTCAGTTAATGCCACTCTAGAGAAACGTCAGAGCCCATCCCTTGTCTGATTCTGGACGTAAAACTTGCACTCAATGCTCGAGACTGGTACGGCATGCAGTACGTTGCGGTCGGGTTCCGCCGCGAGGGGGAACCAAAGTTTTGTGCCTGGACGTATATCATTGTTGCCAGAGGCACGCTATCAGATTTCGGCCGCGGGAATGATGTAACGCTTGGTATCACCAATCAATTAGGCTTCGCTCTCAAAAACACCGTAGTCCCAGGCGGAAAGGAGCACGCTCGGCTCCTTCTGCAGGAAGTCATCGACAAAGCCAGCAACAGGTCACTCGTCCTCGAAGCTCGCATGAACCTCGGCTATTATCACATGGATCGTGTCGATTATCAGAAAGCCAGACAGGAGTTCGAAATGGTGTTGAGACTTTTAGACAACTCGACATCAGCGCTTTACGACACCAAGCTAGCTCTTGCCAAAATCTCGACAGGAGAAAAACGTTTTGATGAAGCCGCGAAGTCATTCAAATCGTTGTTGAGGGACTCCAGGAGCTTGGTTGGGGAAGAAAAGGTCTTCCGACTTGCGGTCTTGGCTGCGTACCTTGAGTTTCTTGACGCCAAGGGAGGACAGGCCGGGGATAGTCAGGTCGGCTGGTTCAAGGTATTGACCTCGTACTTCCCTTTTAGTCACATTATGAGAGAAGCGGATGTGAAGGTCGATGATTGCCTCGGCCAGCAGCTCGACTCGGCAAAAGCAATCCGTCGAGTCTTGGAGTTGCGGGACACATACGTGACCATTTCCTGTGCAAAGTCTCGGGCCGAACATCTTACCGCTCAGTCAATTCGGAGGTACAATGCTGTAATGCAGGAACTGCGACGAGATCTGGAAGTCTCGAGGGAAACGAAACAGACTTCCGAATTCTCTGACATATTGACAGCAATTACGGAAGAATTTGTCGAGTTTGTTTAGATACGTGATCTCCAACTTACTCCTCAAATGTAGAGATTCCTTTTGTGCCTGGAAGATTCCCTTAGGCAAAATATGCACAAATAGCTATCATTAGTCGAGAGAATAGAATGTTGTATGCAACATTGTATGTGCCATCGTCTTCCCTTGCTCTTGCATCGCCGACTTGAATGTCCTAGTTCCGTCCTCCATCATACGACCACATGGCCAAGAACACCATCCTATTGAATCTTAAGCTAAAGAGTAGAACACGAACGACCCACGGGAGAACGAGCGATGGTGACCTAGGAGAATAGGCTGCGTGATTTCTCATCTTCTCAGCCGGTGATTAGGGAACGCTTTACTTATCTGTTGTGTCTTGCCAGCCGCCCACCTCAAAAGACGGACTTGCTTGTCACCACGCCATTCCAGCCCCTCGTTTCCATCCTATCAACTGCGGAATGACGGTTCACTACTTGCCATGGTAGTTCGTGTCCGACACGTCCGCGGTCTACCCGAAGCTATGGAGGAGTGTACTCATCGCGGGCTGCAACCAGATCCTTGATTGGACGGATCGGAAGCTTGTCATTTTGCATCTACAAATATTGCCATTGTCTTTCGTCACATGCCCATGGATCCATCTCTGCTTCAGCTAAATCCATAGCTCCATGCGCGCCTAGGTAAACAGTAAGACCTCCATAGTCCCGGTCGAACCCGCGCAAGCCAAACAATTAATAAGATTCTGTCGGCGTGGTGGCAACTTGCTCCCGGGTTTCCATCTCGCGACAGTGGCACTAGTGGCACCAGCCGTGCGATATATCAACTGTTGGGGAGAAATCGGGAGATGCTCATTCGTGTTGCAACAGCCGCTCTCAGGGGATTGCTCCGGGTTCGCAACGTCCTCGAAGATATGGCGGCGGTTCCGCACTGTATCGGCAGGAGAATTCTTCTGCTCGGTCATCCCAATCGCGATCATGTTTTGTCGTGTAATCTGGGGGGAAGGGCGGCTTGGCCGCTGTTGCTGACAGATGCAGAGATAGGCTGAGCAGCGGTCCGTGGCACCTCGGTGATGATATTCAAGGGCGACGAGCGGCTATTATGCTTCACCATGAACGGAGCATCGCCGGGATCATGGAGAGAGATTGCCAAGGTAAGCGGGGCCGGGCGGGTGGTACGAAACATGAACATGGTCTAACTCCACAATCGCGAGATGGCTCACTTTTCAGGGCCTGCCCTCCCTCAGCGCACCGGCACTATCGTTATGCGTCAGTCCAGGCCGATAAAACTGCTTCTCAAACGACTTACGCATGTCCAGACGGATGCCTTCGGTGTTTAGGCTCTAGACTCTGGGGTTGTCCAAGTGGCAGGGCGGACAACTGGTCGACCATTTGACATTATGCCTCCCAAGGGTGTTGTCCGACACGGTGTTCATGCGGCCTCATACGTAGAGGAAATCGCAGCGTCATTGAGGGTTCTGGCCAGTAAGTCAATTAGGCCATGTTATTCTCATTTTGATTGAACTAGGGCCCGCTGCTTTCAAGGGTAAAGGTCCATTACCTTTATTACGAAAAACCTCTAGAATATGGTCCGCTTTTGCGCTTGAAGGAACTCTTGCATGATCCTCAGTATGGAGATCTCGGGTTGTAATTTGCTTTTCCTCATACCACCACGAGGCATCCTTTGTCCCATAGGTGCAGGTTGATGTCAGCATTCGAGCACCAGAAGGCGCCGGGCCAGCCGCACTGTCTCTATCTTAGGCTTACTGCCCAGCCGGTAGTCAGGCCAGCGAAATGTGACAAACAATATTGAAAAAGGTGTATATTTCTAATTGCTACTTCGTGTAGGTGATGCGGCGGCGTTCTACGAATGCTCGATGGAACGCTACAAATCGCCACAGACGACCGATACTGCCACCTAGTCAGAGTAGAAGCCGATGCCACAGTTGGTGATGAGGTTTGTGGACTTGGTTCTGAAGGGTTTTATTTGACACTGGCCACACCTGGGTGTTTTACAGTGTGCGCAGGCTTTATCCTGGGTACCCATGCCCCCATGGCTGCATTGACACTGTCGTGATGTCAGACCAATTGCCAGCTGCGCAAGTTGAGGTTCACCCACGCAATACCACAGGATCTTCACTCCGGCCTTACCAGCCCATGTCTGCGGGTGAGAAGGCAGTTCGAGGTCTTGTCTGGTGACCACTGCACCACCGAGGAGAACCGATTAGCGTGGTTCTCTCCCATATCAAGCAAGAACTGTGTACCTCTATGTAGTTGATCTTGAAAACAGGGGACGTTCATCTTCGTAGGAATCGTTGTGTGGACGGGGGGAAGACTTGATTCTTGCAGCTTGGACAGTCTAGAAAGATTGGGTTCGATTTGGATGGCTCTGGGTCTTGTAATCAATTATACCATTCCACGTTACATTGAAATGAGTCCTTTAAGTCATTACCGGTACGCTCACAGCTATACTTTGTCTGTCAATAGTGTGCCACACCGCATGTAGGCCACGACACTGCATGTTTGAGACATAAAAAGCCACTGGTCACTCGTCTTGGTGACGTTCGCCTACACTGCGCCGTTGCTCATTTACGTGGCGGAGATTGACCGCCAGGCAATAACTGACACAGCCACAGGATTGCAAAGCAGGATAAGCATGTGTTAGCCTCAGATTTATTTTTCCATCACTGAAGGCTGAAGGCTCGCTTACGAACTCACCTCATACAGCGTGGCCGAATCCAAGACGTTAACCTGAAAATGGTGATCTGCCATTGATGTTTGTGTCAAGCACTCAGACCGTTGATAAGCGGTGCTGGCTGCTTCGTTGGTCATTTGGATCGCCCAGCCTGAACGGCTCGATGTTCCCGTCAGTCTTCTGGAGCCTGGTCATAGGTTACGCCTGCACCGCTAGCATGGATCATGAAGCCTGTCGCATACCACAGCGGACCAAACCTCGATGGATGGTCTCTCTTAACACAGTCCTGGCCCTGAAATTTCCTGCGCACTGCACGACCACGGTCGAGGCCTTCTACTGCATATGAGTCCTGGCCATTCACGCCTGAGTGACGAAAGCTTACCGAGATGATCTCCGGTGAATCTAGGAGGCAGCGAAAGAGCGCCTGCCACGAATGGGATGCTCTACCGCAGGGTTAATGTGGACTTCACGCTACCAAGTGCGTCTAAGTGGCCACGTAGGTGCAGTCTGTAACACGCGACGCGCTGGCATTGTTTCCCAAACCGGGCAGCAGTGCGGCTCAGATGAGTCAGATAGCGGGCGCACTGCGAGTATAACCATGATCACGAGCCATTTTCTTTGCTTCGTAGCCTGGTGCCGCCCTCTTCCTGTCTGTTGAACTTGTTCTGGGCTTCCATGTGTGGACGCTGCAAACACACATTGCCTCGCCATTCAGACTGTCGAAAACACCAATAGGTCGTAAGAGATCGTTTTTTCCTGTCTCACGCCTGGACTCCATTACACCCGGGTCTTCGCAATATTTCACTTGCTTCACTTCACGATCGGCAGCGATGGTGTCCAGCACAACAACCGTTGAACTTATCACGGATCGCCTCGAAAAACCTTTGCGCGATAAGCGGGATTATCGTGTCATTCGACTATCCAACGAGCTTGAAGTTCTTCTAGCTCATGATTCAGACACAGACAATGCTAGCGCCTCCCTTGATGTCCATGTTGGGAGTTTCAGTGACGAAGAGGATATGCCTGGCATGGCTCACGCCGTGGAGCATGTATGGAGCCGAAACATCGGAATCCTGGACACGCTAACGATAATTGACTGACGCCTGCTTTCACAGCTACTGTCCAAGGGCACCGAGAAGTTCCCTGCGGAAAAGGAATTCTCTGAGTATCTGAGCGTTAACAATGGCTTCGCAAACGCTCATACGACGCCAACATCTACAAACTACTTTTTTCAAGTGGCAGCAAAGCCTGGAAATGATAAGGAGCCGTCTGCAATAAACCCCTCGCCCCTCAAAGAGGCTCTCCGCTGCTTTGTCGAATTTTTCATAGCGCCCCTCTTTCTCAAAGATACCATCGACCGAGAGTTGCAGGCTGTCCACTCTGAGCATCAAAAGAACACGCAATTAGATTCTTGGCGGTTGAAACAGGTCGAGAAAAGCCTCTCCAATCACAAGCATCCTTACCATCGTTTCGCTACCGGCAATATTGATGTTCTTCAGACTCGACCAGAGGCCAAGGGCATTGATGTCCGAGATCGATTAGTCGCTTTCTGGAACGGGCATTACTCGGCGAATTCGATGAAGTTAGTAGTATTGGGACGGGAGCCCCTGGACGTGTTGGAGAACTGGGTCGCAGAAATGTTCTCTGGCATTCAGAACAAGAGTTTGGTCCCCAAACGGTGGAAGGAAGAGGTCCCCTATCGCGAAAGTGAGCTCGGTGTACAGGTATTCGCTAAGCCCATCATGAACCTGCGCGAATTGAGGTTGCGCTTTCCGTTTCCCGAGCATAGACAGACGTGCACTTCGCAGCCTGATCGGTACATCAGCCATTTGATCAGCCATGGGGGACCAGGGAGCATAACGGCCTACCTTAAAGAGAAGGGATGGTCCAATGGTTCATACGCGTATGCGGAATCTGTGTGTGATGGCACACCTGATATCTTCCATTGCGACATACGTCTGACTGAGGAGGTGAACTCGTAACCCCATGCTTACATCCTAGAACTCAAGGCTCACATTCATCACAGGGCATCAAGAATTACAAGCATGTGGTTCTCGTCTTTTTCCGATATGTTTCACTCCTCCGGGAGTCACCCCCTCAGGAGTGGATCTTTGATGAGATCAAGAGTATGGCCGACGTCAACTTCAAGTACCCAGAAAAGACAAACGAGGCAACCTTTGCTCGTACAATCAGTGCACTCATGCAGGAGCCTACGCCGCGCGAGTGGTTGCTCAGCGGCCATTCCCTACTGCGCACCTTTGACGGTGGCCTCATCGAAGAGTGTCTAGCATGCTTAAGGCCAGACAACTTCCGCATGACGATTGTGTCACAAG